ACATTATGCGATGGCCTATGCACTGCAAGAGCTAAAAAGCTCAAATGTCCGTAATTATTTTGCCTCAGTAAAAAATAGGAGCATTTAAAATCTACTTTTATTTTGGAACGGATGTTTATTGGAATAAACGTGCGTAGAACGAATTTCCTGTAATTCTGACGCCAGTTGAGGAGGCTAATCACCCTTTTCAGGGTAATCGATGTTGGCAGTTGAATGTATGAGGGCTTCCTTGGAGGGGTTGGGTAAACCAATTAGGCTATTTACATGTTCTGGCTTTGGACTCCGAGCAAAGTGTAGTCCCACGCCATGAACTCGAACTTCCCCGTATTCAGAGTCAAAGGGTCATTTCATCAGCCAGGAGAAAAAGCTCATCTTGACGCCTTTTAAATAAAAAGTGCAATAAATTGGATTTTTAGTGGCATCCACCTAATGAAGAATTAAAACCACAAATGAAATGCCCTCGCAATCCGAGTTCCCTGGAACCAACACTTTTGCATCATCTGAGATCTACCTTGAATTCAAATCGCCTAGAAAAACTTAAATCGTTTTGAGCTGAGCACCGGTTTTTGTGAAGAAGAAGACGGATTTTTTTACTTCATAAAACCTTATCCTAGCCATAGATGCAAAAAAATTGCTTCAATCAGAACCTCTTGCCACCTCATCTCAGCAAAATTCACATTAAGGACTATAAAATGGAAAGAAAATCAACTACATCTGTACAATCTTCGATATCTTGACAATGAACGCAGAAATCCATCGGTATCTTATAACGCGATCCCTAAAAATTGCTTGTTTTGCTAAAACTACTTCTTTTTTCCAAGTGCAATTTGTTCCCGGAGATCCTTGGGTAAACTAGTCCCACACTAAGCGGTAGATCCAAAGACAAAACTCTTAGGGTCTAATACGTTTATGGCCTAAATTATTCTGAAAGTCAGCGTTAAAACGCTTTTATTTAACCAAGACATTTGCCTATACAGGACAGCTTTATGTGCCTCTTTTTAATAATGCCACGTAAATTGCAGCACTCTCCCTTACTGCCTAACGGGGCGCAACTTTTTACTGCAGCAGGGTCACCAAACTGTGTGATTTATCAACCAGCACAATTACGAGGTGCACAAATGGATAACTCTGCATCTTTTTAAACTCGTATCAATAGTTCACTCACTTCGGTTAAATATGACTAAAGTGTCCGGTTATATTCCTTCGCCTGAATTGTCTGCAAGTGGCAGCTCATAAAAAGTCAAACGGTGTCACTGACTGCTCATAAATGCTTTCAGAAACAAACCATTGCCACTATATGAATTGTCAGTCATAAATTTATCAAAAACCGTCTATTTTGCGTCGGTCTAGCCTTCTTTTACTGGATGGCACATTTCCTGCCAAATTCTTGGAAGCAGTGAAAGCGTCAAAGTGAAAGCACGATCATGCAAAGGAGAAGGAGGTGGTGGGAAGAGTGGTGGTGGCAGCGACGATGAGGATTAGGCTGGAGCTTTTTGTCACCTCAGCGCGTGCGCGACGTCGCCCTGGCTCATGCGCGCGTGCCCCATGTGAATGGGACTGGTCCACACGCGCTCGTCCGTGCTGCGATTGGCTCCGCCTCTCATCGTGGTCTCCACGTCTCGCGGGCTAAAATGAGGCCTACGACCAGACCCCGGGGCTACTACTAGTCAGGCTCAGCTAATACTCTTATAGACATACGCACTCGCACACCCAAAAGCACACCAAAAGCGACACGAGGGACGCCATCGGGAGGTGATGGTGAGTGAAGCAGCGTGCTGAGGTGCCAATCAATATGGCGGAGGTGGAAGCTACCACATCCTTGGAGTGGATGATGTCACCGGTGGCCGCGGTCGACGAAAATAGAACGATCGCAGTGTTTGAAGTCGCCCACTCTTGGGCACATGTCTACATCGTATCGATATTTCTTGGATTCCTTATAATTTGCATTATCTGTGGAAATGCTCTCGTCGTGCTGGCTGTTTTAACTGAACGTCATCTCAGGGTAGGCTCTTCTCATTAAAGTTTTTAAGTGTCAAGGTAACAAACATGATCGCCAACCTTTTATTCATAAAGCAAAGAAATCTATGATTGTTTTTTATAAATTTATGAAAAAAATACTGTCATTTACATAGGACATTCGATTTGTTACTTTCGTTAAGGAAATTTAAGGGACTGCTTCTAGATAATTAATGAATGACTAGTAGTCTAAAAATTTCTTTTAGCATTTTATCAGCTAAATGATTACTAAAGGTGAAGCAAATTGGTCCAAACGCAATTCGCGAATTCGTGAAGGCAAAAAGCAAATGCTGGAGCATTCTCCTTTCTTCAGTGGCTACAAGCGAGTTGAGTTTGACATTAATGGGGGTGGGGAATGGAAAATTGATATCAGTTTCAGACAAAATGATAATAGAACAAATACATGCACACCGGTTGAGTGAAAGACTACCTATAAAAAATTGTCTTCTAACAGACAATAATTTGTTGGTGAAGCACGCAGACTCCGCTTTGCTTAGACTGATAACCGCCAGCCATTCAACGTCTACCAACCCTTCACTAAAAATAGTTCCTTTAATAAAAAGAACTCAAACGAGCTCCAAGGAAAAATGCAATGATGCTCAATTTGCAGCAAATAACCAACTATGAAATTGCAGATTTTTTACCCTACAACTTCCCATCTATTTTCGGATCACCAAGCACCTATCGTTGTGTCGTTACCCTTTGAGTTTAGCAACAAATACTTGGACCTTCTTAGAGGAAACAGACATGGAAGTCCAAATAACTCAAAGTGCTGCAGGTTCTTAAAGAATTTGCAATTAAATTCTGCTATATAGAATTGCATGAATCCAATGAGGGGAAGCGGTTGCGTGCGAAAACCCGAGAGGAGAAACCGCAGGAATGATTAATGCATTATTCGTAACCTATTTTCGGAAAATTGAGCTCATGTAGAACACTTCTAGTTCTCATTTGCTCTTCCAAATTTCCATTTCTTTCTTGTGGACAAAATTTATATCAAAGAGAAAAAGAAGGTTTACCCAAAAATTGTTTTCCTACAGATGAAACTCTAGCCACATAGAGAAGACCGCTGCAATCATTTCGACTTTCCGATCTGAAAAGTCCTCTGATGGCACGGAGCTTTTTTAATGCCTCTTAACTGGGATAGCTCTAGGGTGGATATTTTCTGCAAATTTCTACAAGATAAGTAAAGTAACAAAGTGCCAGGCGAGAGGTGCACACTTGCAGTCTCTCTTCAGTAATTGGGCTGAGACGTGGGCTTAAACATGCCGTGAAAATTATCTTCTTTGCAAACAATTTTTCATACCCTTACTTAAAGCAAATGAAGCGATCAAGATTCCTGAAAGCAATTCAGTCCACTGGTTGGAAAAGGTTTTTTACTCGTTTGTGAAAGTACTTAGCAATGAAGTATTGACTAAAAGATGACAACCTGTCTCGACTAAGGTGGCTTGAGCTCAGGAGCGAAGTGGAGCAGTCGAGTGAAAATATATGAATGAAAAATACTCCATCGTTCAGGTAATTATACCCATGTAATTGGCGACTGCAAAAGTCACAGTATTTTGCTTGGGGAGTTTACTAATGAGAATCTTCCTTTATTCCTTCTTGCCATAATGGCCCGGGAATAAATAAACGTCGCTAAAAGGGAATAATTACTTAGGCAAAAAATGGAAATGTGGTGTAAAAAAGAAGTGGATATGGTACTTTGGGAAAATCACGAATTGTAAATGAAAGTGTAACGCGTTTTGTTCTCATTTAAGGCTCCCACTTAGAATTGAATGCAGTCTTAGTGTCAAAACCTCATTGTCACCTTAAATGCGGCACCAAAATCCACATACTCCTAATCGAAGTCCTTTTTAGCAGAATATCTCAAATCAATTACACAAAAGGAAGGAGACTCGAAAACTCAACAAAATCATGACACTGACACATAGAAACCGACATAAACACGAATTCACCAGTTTTTGCTTTGTAACTGCCTGTTGAAGACAATATGGAAGTAAATGAAAGGTGTGCTGGTTGTGCCAGAGGAGGAATGATTTTTACTGCATGTAGGCTGTTTTTGCAATTATCTTCTGTCACATCAATTAATCGGCACAGAATTCAGCATTTTAAATAATAATTAATTAGAATATGTTAAATAAGGTGATTAACTTCCCCTGATGATGCAAGCAAAGTTGCTTCTCTTGATCGTTCAACAATCATATTTGATTTCTATAAAGTACACTAGAATCGCTCAGCACCAAGAGGCTACACCGTGCAGAATTTTAGCTGTGCTGGCAACTTCATTCGTAATTCAATCTTCTGGTTCACAGGCCGCATAACAAGGGATTTCTTGCTTATTTTAAGGGGGCAGGTTTAAGAAGGCAAGTTGTTACAAACACAAAGGAAGTTGATTTCTACTTCGTAAGGGATGCAAATAAAAAATTTAAGATCTGTGCCGTATAATTTGTCAGTATTTTGCATTTGACTGTTGATTGGCAAGGAGACAATCAAGCGCGCGGCGATGCATGGATCCCCTAGCGCAGATCTTGCTTGGACCTGTCAAAAAACGCACCATCAGCTTATGTTACTAAAGGGCGAAAACTCATTCCTGCGCATTCTTGCGGAGAGTTAATTCCTTTATGTATCGAATGTAGCACTATGGGGCTGGCAAACATCCAATTTTTAATCAACAAAGTGTGCAATTGTAGACACAGACGACTGAGAAAACAATGTTTTACTGAACATTTATAGAGGTCAAATGGTTGCAAAATGATTTTAAGGTATTTGTCATTTCTCTCAATGACATAAAATAATTTATTTCGTGATAATTGGGGGAACAGCATCCACCGTTATTTGTTAAGGATCAACTTATGTGTAAACCTTATGATACCTCAAAGATGAAAAATGGTTAAAACAAAATAAACTACTAGCATTGTAATGAACAACTAAGTGCTGCACTTACTGTATTTTAGGTCGTATCAAACTACCTTATTCTCAGTCTGGCAATGGCTGATCTCCTCGTTGCGGTCGTTGTCATGCCTCTCAGTCTTGTGCATGAAGTCTCCAAGGTGTGGTGGCTTGGTGAGTCCATTGTACGTATTTTGACCCTCCAAACTCGACCACCTCGCCCCTCCACCTACGCTCCCAATAAATTAGTCGAGCACTCACAGTTGGAAATTGTCAAAGTTTATCGAGTTTTATTCAACGAAATTGTGGACTTTATTATACTCTTAAGAAAGAGTTAGTTACCATCAGTTGGCAAAAATCTAGTAAATCAGATATGAAATCTAAAGATGTAACCAATGTTTATTGAAAATTTTTCTCTATGCTAGAAAATCCGGTGTTTTTGATAAATCCTGTAACTGATACCGCTAGTACCCAGCATTTAATGGATAAACAAACCATTGCAAGTATAAAAATTCCGTGTTCTTTTCTTTCGAGGTTCCATGGGAGCATCACCTATTTGTCCTTGGCTTAAAAAAGTTACAAATTTTTTTTGTAAATTCCATTTAACAACCAGGTTGATTCGTTTCATTGGATAAGCTACTCATGCAGTACATTTGAAAAGAAACGCAGAGGCGAAACATGATTGACGTCCAACAAATACCATTTGCAAATCGTTGTGCAGTTATGTCGCCAACCCTCTTTAAAAATCCAAGTGATGAGGAAGCAGGAATTGTAGTTCGTCAGAAATATGTCCGCCTGCAAAGAGCTTTTTTTTCCTTAATTCCAGGCTGGGTGTGTAGACAGTTTTTGCGATTCTTCATGTTACTAGACGGACATGCAAGAAGTGATCCGTTAATTAGACTGACGCCTGGCCATATGCCCTCTTGGTCGTAAAAGTTGTTTTACTACATTGTTTTACAATTAATTAACTTGCAATCTAGGCTATTGGCAGTGAAGTCACAGATTAACTAATAGGTATTACCCCGAGAAATGTTATTTTTCCACTAATCTTTTAGTTATTTGAGTAGCCATACAAAGTAAGAAATGCTACCAGATTAGCCCAATCATTAGAGTGCACAACTCATTATTCCTTCCTAAAAAGGTAAAGAATATAATTCCTTCTTAGGAATCGTAAATACTGATGAGAGTTGGGCGAAATAGCACTCCGCTATACAAGCTAATTTTCCCTATTATTTCCTTTCACCATGTAGCTGCACATACAAAGAGATATTTTAAAGGGGGAAGGTGCTGATAAGAGTAGGGTGTCCAAGTTCTTTAAACACAGGAAATGAGTAGTCAACGAATGCTCGCTGATGACACATTTCCCGCCAGAGACAAATATTGCGTTGGGCCCAGTCGTCTTATATTGCTTCCTATTTTAATTCCTTGTTAGCGTTCGCCTATTTTTTAAAATAACTTAACAGTATGTTTTAGTCATTTACTTGGTGTAGTATTGCGGTGGTTCCGTCCTATGCCTGACTCTATTTCAAAGCTGTGAAAAATCCCTAGGCCACTTTTTTACTCTCAAGAGGATTCAGCAAGATACCTCCGAAATTCACCGGTAACGGCAAACAAAAGCGTTGATTTCCTTTACGTTAGAAGTGATTTTTCACTTGTACCACTTTTATGTACGGGCCAGTGTGTAAGACTGCGTACTTACCGCGACCAATGTTTGCGAACTGAACGGCCACTTTGGGATGAAATCCCAGTAACTTTCATGATAACATTCAAAGAGAAGTTGGTGGATAGTGCATGGACATATTAATGTGGAGTTAAATTGAAGTGTTATTGAGAAATGCAAATAAATCGCTCAGAATTGTGGTGGGGTTAAGGTTGCTTCGCCCTAATGAATCAGTGACGCAAAACTCAACATTTTACGAGAACCGAAACCAATCTTTGTTGTTAGAACGACGTTTAATTCAGATTTAAACTTCTTTTTGCCGATTTTGAAAGCAAACCCACTTTAATAAGGGTGCTCATATTTCACGATTGCGGTTATTTTTTGGCTGTTTTGAAAAGCTGCTAGACGATTTCTCAAAATGAGGCACGCACGTTATAAATAATACAACGTTATTTATTTTTCGTCAAAAACACGCTCAGAGGGGATTACTGCATAACAACCTAGTTCAGGCTTGTTTTTCTTAAATAATGAAATATTTAAGGATAGGCATTAGACGTCTGTTGGATTCGGTGACACTTTGGATTAACTGCATTCATCCAAATATTAAGTCGGAGAAAACCAAAGAAATGTTTCCGATTATTTGCAACTTCCATGCGGACTGCTCCCCTTTGGAGACTCACATAAGTTCAAGTGTTATAGAGCTACTTCAATCAGCATATCCAAACAAATAAAACATGGTAGAAAACGCACTTGAGTAACTTACTGACAAATTTAAGTCGCCAGGACTAGTAATTGTAACTTTAGTGTTCACATATTTAAACATTAAAGAAGGACTTCTTCTACTTTTTGGGGGAAACTCTAACTATGTGCAGTATTCGAGCCACTAAGTTACATGAAACGTCGCTTCCTGCTTCCTGAGGATTCGAGAGTTAACAATACCTCTTTAATTGAATATACAGACACATTCATATTTCGCCCAGAAACCCGACAGTCTAACTAGTACTCATGTCGCGTTTTGAATGAATAAACCTTAAAGATCTTTCAAAATATGCAGAAAGACCTTTCAGTTCACGTAGAAACAAGCCTCTTTAAGAGGGTGAGAGGTTTTGTTGCTTAACGTTGGCGGAAGGGGTGGTTAGCCTCCTGGGTCTCAAAAATGGTTCAAGTGTAACACTGTGCATCTTCGGCATTCGCCTTCAACACCAAACTAGGAGCGGAGCGTTGTCAAAAGATGATTGATCTCAATGACTGTTTACTATCACTCCAGTCTTCATTTGGCAAAGGCAGCGCCGAAATTAATGACCTTATTGCAGGAACTTTTAAATCCCCTTGTCTACCCCTGAGTTTGGAATAGTCTTCATATTTCTAGCTCAACCCTCCTTAAGTGTAGCAAAACGCATTTCTAATCCCTTTTTTTCTTATTTATCTTTCCGCATTGTTTTCAGCTTTTGAACAAACTCAATCTGACGCCAAAGCCTGTAAAGTATCTGTCAGACGTCAAAATTAGCGCTTGACGTGTAATTTAAGTGCTTATAACAAACCAAATACATTTAATTGCAATGGAAAGATTAGCCATGTCAAATCGTACGTGGCTGGGAAAAAACATTAGAGTAGACGTATCGAATCCTGATTTTTGCAAGTTGTACACCATTTGAGAAAAGAAATTTTTTCCGATCTAATATTTACCACTTTAGTTGTTTTATCCACAGTTCTTTTAATAGCCTCTTGCGGGGTTTGTTGATCCCTCTCCTCCGTCTAACACTTCCAGATTTTGCCTCTTACAGTGGCGAAATTTGTTAAAATGATGTACATATTTCAGTACACCTTAGAAACATGAGGATAAAATTACTTTGGCTGCTGTGTTTAGGGAAAAATGAATTTAATGATAGTTCATTTCATATTTTGCTGCAAGATAAAACGGGAATCATCCTAGGAGTCTGTTTTATAACTGCCGGTCAATTTCAAATGAGCTATAGCTAGAAATTGTCCTTTGTTTCAAATCCATTTTTGCATTATCATTTTGTGGCAAGGTTATGGTAGAATGCTTTCAAAGAAAATAGTAAATAGGAAGCTTTCGCGCACTATTACTAACCCCTGCGAAGAATAAAGACCCTAATTCAGCTTGTTTTATAACGTAGGGCTAGCACTTTGCGATCTGTGGATATGCACGGATGTGCTCTTGTGTACAGTCTCCACCCTCCACCTGTGTGCCATTGCAATAGAACGCTGTCTAGCGGTGAGCAGCCTCGCCTATCTGCGACACCGCTCGGCCACCTTCGTGCTAATCATGGTGAGCATTTGCTGGATCCTCGCCACCATGGTCAGTCTACCTGCGCGCTTTCACGCCAGGCGCCAGCTCGAAATCCCCAACGTTGTTTACGAGGGCATTTGCGAGATCAACATGGGAGAGGGCTACACGATCTACTCCAACCTACTCGCTTTCGATTTGCCTATGGTCTTCATCGTCCTAATGTATGCTCGCATCTACTTCACTGCTCGTCGTCATATTAGGAAGAAACATTTTGTCAAATACCAAACCAATTCGACCACCATAAAGGGCAACAGTTATCAGTCGGCTACCTCTGCTGAAAATCCGGAAAGCCACCGTTATTGCTGTTACTGCTGTGGCTACGTCATGGAGACAAGATTTCACAAGGGCAGGACAATGTTCAACGTGGATTCTACCCAGTGCTCAGGATTCCAATGTTCTAGCTCCTCCGATAAAAGGATGGTAGCCACGGACCCCCCTGAAACCGTTGTTGCAGCAGCGGTGACGGCCATGCGTATGGCTGCGACCATGATTAGCACCACAAAGGAACCCGGGTGGGGGACCTACGAATCCGAAAGCTCAGACAGTGAGGGGACATTTAATTTGATCTCCTTTAACTCTTTAAAGAATCCAAATTATGATGATGAGTCCCAATTCTATGCAAGTAGGCAAATGAATTGCCAGCCCTTGACATATGATATTCTGCGCAGTCTGCAGAAGCAAAAAGAGCTGGGTTCTAACCGAGAAGTAATAGCATCTCCATCGGGTAAAGAACTGGTGCGTGAGCTTTCTAGCTACACAAATTGTTCCTCCATTCTGTATGCAGATGAAAATTCCAAACCCAATTCCCTTTCCTCTAGTATGTACTCCTCAATGATACACACCTCCGACTCGAGGGAGGTAGAGAACGGAAACACTACTGAAGAGCCTCAACTACGCAACTTTGTTCCTCTGTGCATTTACTACAAAAAACAGAGACAACAACGTTGGTTAGCACAAGGAAGGATTTTTAATAAGAAGGCTAGTGAAGTTATGAAGAATTTGTCGGTAAACGAGTCAGATTCAGGTATAAAGCCCGAGGAGGAGCGCTACCTGCGAGAGCGTCTAGAGCAAAGGCGCGAACGAAAAACGGTGCGAACATTGGCTATAATTACAGGTTGCTTTGTCCTTTGCTGGCTCCCCTTCAACATTCATGCGCTGCTATCACCATTCTTTGGACGAATTCATCCAATTGGTGTCTCAGTGCTACTCTGGCTAGGATACCTTAATTCCCTCCTAAACCCCATCATTTACACCATCTTTTCAAAGGATTTTCGCAGTGCCTTCCGAAGAATTATTTGCCAAGGTCCGCGGTTAAAGTGTTTCCGCTGAGCAACCTTGTCCCCACAACTCTGTCACTGTCCCTCCTTCTCCTCCTTTTCTTGATTCTAAAACTTGGGCAAATGTGCGCTGGAGCTCGTGAATCCCTGGTTGAAGAAAATTGACTGCAACGGTGACTTTAATCCTTCCTTATCTCCATGTTTTACTCATGCATAAACCATCTTTTTTGTAAACCAGAGAGAGCCCAATTGTGCTATATTTGATCAATTTTGAGATCCGTGGTTATTTTATCAATAAAACTACCAAAATGTATTTTCTTTTTTCCTGTAAGACCTTTTGGATTATTCCTGGATTGAGGATAATTTCCTACGAATGTGCCACCTCTTTCCTTACTTTGAATAGCGTTTTACCATTGCTTTTGCCCTTTTCAATCAGAGATGACTTAACGATTGTCCACTAATCTATCGCAAATAAATGTGTTTCCACAAAATTAATGAATTGTGATTTCGGACTTGTGCATTAAATGAAGGTAAAAGTGAGGTAAGGTAATTTGGAAAAACATACGAATGGACCCCACCTATGTTTGAATTGTCGGTAAAGCGGGAGGAAATATCATAAAAAAGCGTGGACTTACAGAACAGCAAATATCGGCCCATTGCTCTCAGTCAGTCCTGTCCCCGGGGTTTTAGCAAGTCGTTCGCAGAGCTTCGTCAGTGAAATAATCCCCGTGGGACCTCATCCTACAGCCAAAAGGCAATGCAATGGCAGCTGTCGACCAAGTCCTGATCGACGGCATCATAAGCAAAATGCAAAGGTGCACAATTATACTAAAGCATTTAAAATGTCTAAAAGTGGTGTGTTTTAAAGTCAAAATACTCCTCTCGTTAGCACTAGAATAAAAGCGGTCCCTGACACCAAATCCAGTAGAAATCCGTAATACATTCATTTTTTTCACCTTTGATAAACGCCTTTTTATCCTTAAAACAATAATCTTAATAATTGTTCCGAAATTTTTTTACAGAACAGATATTGCAAATGTTTCCGGCTCAGTAAAAATTAACATTAGAATGCTAAGCGGTCATGAAAGTGTATTTTAAGGCGACAGCGAATAAAATCAGGAGGTCTCGGTTGAAATGCAGGAGTCCGAGAGGTGAAGAAATCGAGTTGTGCGCCTTAGCAATGATTTTCACCGTAGAACATACCTGACCTTATTCACTTCCGACAATTTGAGAATGTGGTCAAAATAATGCGTAAAGGGCCAACAAAGACGTGACCTTCAATGCCCTCCGAAAAGGTGACACACGATTCAAATCCCCAAGTTGCAATCCAATCCAAACCATCTTTAAGCATTTTGGTGTGAGATATAAAAGCCAAAAATTAATTTGTAGGTACTGGGATTCACGAAATTATTAACGCATAATTTTTTCGCCCTTAACATGCTGCTATACACGGAAAAGGGAAGTTATGGCAATTATAACTCCAAATTTTGCACGAATAGCATTTTTTAATGGCTTCTCCATGAATGGTCCGATAGGCACGGTTTTGAACGCACCCAATTCTTTTAACAAAACAGCATTCCACGACGCCCGCTTTTCTTACGCTAACATTTTCGCTTTAGTCTGCTATTTTAGGCTAACTGAAGATATAGGGAAAGTGTAAAAATTGACCAAATCATGCACGGAAGATTGGAAAACAGGGTTTATCATTGTGATCATTATGGCTGTAGATTTCACTAAAGTAGACCATGTAGATACAAATGAATGGAGTCAGCTGCTGTTACTACTACCTCCATGATTTCTGACGAATTCAACCCCCCGGTGTTGTGCTCATAGTGCCTGCCGGATTCACAAGCGGAAAAAAGGAAGCATCTGGGGCACCCGGGCTACCTTAAACGAAAAATTCACTAGCAGTTGGGTAAGAAGATAACAGTTTTCCTTTTCTCATACCTTGAGTTAAAAAAGCGATGTGACTTGATTGGATTAACTGAGGCAATACCCATCACCCGAGAATTGTATAATTACACATTATTTGGTAAAAATATAAAACTGTATAAATATAGATTCATTTTGAATGGGATAACAAACTCATTTGGTTATCATTTTGCACAGCATTTTTTTTCTCGGGATTACTATAATTGAAGCTTTTTTAGACTGAAGTGAAATTCTGTTTGGTTTTGGAATGGATTTGGGAGCCACCAAGGCTGCATGCACTTCATGTGGCTGGTGTCAGCAGCACTCTCTTTACCCCCAAAGGTTTCAAACGCATTGTCCAACAGGTACGGGGTTTACTCAAAAACGAGTAGAAAGCCGTCTTTTTCTGAACGGTGCTACAGGGCTTTCGAATTCCTACAAAATTATAACCTTTCAAAAGCTGTACATAAGCACACAAGCCTTATAAAGTGTCCTAGTATCTTTTTTAGTTGAATAGGATGTTATTAGTATTTACACCATTAAATATGCTACACATAAGGGGTTCTGTTGGAGTAGCTAAAATTGCAGCAAAAGTCATCGAGGTTACGTTCCTATCAGCCAAGGAAGGTTAAATCAAAAGAGGTCCTCCAAGTCTTATTTTGGCATTTATGGGTCTTTAAAGGAAATAGAAGAATAATTACCTATAAAAACAGCCAATGTTTTAGTTTATTACATTTGTTGGAAAGATAAAACAGTTAGTTCTGATGGCATTTTTTTTGCCTCTCTCTATTCACATCTGTTCAAAAAGAGTTGATCCACCTGGCTAGCACCAATAAAAATATTTTTTTCGAAGGCCTACCAACTTTTAAGTAGGCTACAGTTAGTTGTAGGGTCGAATAAACGCTTAATTTTTCGACACTTTCATTACAGACTACCCTAGGTGTTATCAAAAATACCATTTTTAGGTGCTTGTCTTCAAAAAATAGAACAAATAGTTAGTTGACAGGGAGGCATTCTATATACTGAATCTTAAAATTGGTAAGAATAAATCACATCTTGTTCAGTCCCTTAAAATGACTCTGTACCTCCATAAGACATGTCTGTATTAGAGTGTACAGTCGCTTTGTCGATTAGGTGATTCATTATCTTGCCAATTTTTCTATTCAAATGAAATGCATAAACAAAATTGCAACGAGCGTCACATTCTAAGGTCCGACTCCCAGGGATGCCGTTACTTGTGTCCGCGAAAGTCCTGTGCCTTCCTTCGCCTTCAGAGCTGATCATGTTAACTCCACCAGACCGTATAAAAATCATTTTAATTTGCATTTTGAATTATGCTTCAAATACAGAAAAGCAGTGCTCGCATTTACAGTGATAACTTAATACCACTCAATTCTGCTTTACCTTCAAGCCGTATGCCCGTATGTCTTCCCAAAGACCAAAAGCTAGTTTAAAAAGAACAAAAATATCCAAAATTTCGTTTGGTATGAAAAACAGTGTCACAAATCGAACTCTTTGCTGGAAAAGGCACTCTGTTACCTTACGGAAGAGCAGACTGGAGCTTCTCTTTTAAAAGGTATGGGCAAATTATTTATACCTTAATTGGTCATATTTGTCTGATTCACTTGCTTACCTAGAAACCCTGTCACTCGAAGTGGAAGGAGCTGACGCTGGTTGGGTCGAAATGTTTGCGTTCTGACTCATATAACTTTGAATGGGAGAAGAGAGTCGTTGAAGCTCAACTTTTGTTTAAAGCATGGACCATCTCAGGAAGCGAGATTTCGCTTAACCATAACCTTGATATTTTGTGCATTTAGAGGTATCAGCGGTGATTGCCGCTGGGATGGTCTGGGGGAGTTTAGTTAGAAAATCAGAAATTCGAACAAATTAACTTAATGCCTCCAAGTTTTACTAATTGTCTGTTTGAGGTCGAATTCCAAAATCCCGCATCAATGTATTATTGCCAAAAACCCAATTTTTTCAGACTTTTCAACTTTTATATGGTTTCTAAAAAATACTGGGAAATAATCGAAGAGGCAGAAAAAGGCTCAACTTCACTGGTCTTGGTAAAGTTGTAAAATGTCAATTGTTTGTTTAGCTCCCGGTTTTGCTAGCAGGCCACTTAGGGACTTCGCTAATGCACCATTATTTTTATTATCAATATTTTATTGTTGGAAAATAGACACCAAAGAGAAGCAGTAGACGCGCATAAGGTATGGCTATAATCACCTTTGGTAATGTGGAATCATGCTAGACAACTAAGAGATTTGGGCTTATCCGATCCCCTACCTTCTTAGTTGTTAAAATGAAACATTGGGGAACAATACCTACGAGCAACTATTGTTAAAATCGTGATAACTTTTTTTGCATTTTCAATTCACTTAATGGGTTTTAGCGATCCAACTTACCGAAATGTTTTCCATTTAAGTTTATCCTGAAAAGTCAAATTGAGTGGGTTCTACATACCCAGGCTCGATTTATTTATCACCTACTTCTTTTTTGCTCATTTCAGCAACTCTTTTTTATACCTGATGGGATTTAGTTAAGCCTTATTCTTAATGAACACAATTTTGGGGGATCAAATCACTAATCCTTGCAATTACCACATTTAAGCAGTTTATGGCTTTCGATTGGCAGTAAGTAGGCCTTGCCAATTGGCCGCCACACTTTGCCCATCTACTTGCCACGGTTTGCATTAAATTTTTTTATCAAACACATAAAAAAGCACTAATAGCCTCATGATTATTATGAAAACGGCTTGGAGTCTGGACTTTAACGCCTTTTCATGTGCTTCTGACTCCCCAAAGAAAGATTTAAAAAATACTTCAAAATCAGCAGTCCCTTAAAGAGATCATTCTGACAAGTTAACCTGCAACGCTTTAATAGCTTGTTCAACTCTCATTTTTTCTAACGGCCCTCTTAGGCCTGTTCCAGCGTATGTTCACCGAACAACTTGGCATCCGCATCATGCCAGAGACCCCAGGCCCTATTGTATACTGAATGTATATACTCTACCCTAGTATTATGCCTTCATTCGTCTTTGGGGAAGGCTCGAGACTCTACATAAACTACCTAATAAATTATTTTAACACCAGCATCAATTTACGTGCATAAAAACATGCACGTAAAAGAGACGCTGTTACCAGAATGAAAAATTGGATGAAGCTCTTCCTCTTTCACTTATTTATCCTCCCTGTTGTACAAAATGAAATGAAGTCGCTCCCATTACCTATGCTAGTTAAGTGGAGATGCTCTGGATTAAAGTAGAGGTGTAAGCGGATGGTATATTTTAATTACGTCATCCGCTGAGGTGTTCTGTGCACATACAACCTTCACTATCTACTCCTGTAAACCTCAATTCGGTGCAAGGTTAAATAAAATTGTAAATTTAAGTATGCAATATTTAGATATGTATGTACCTGTCCCATAAATTGACTAAGCCGTTTAGACATAATTAATGGGATTTTTGGATTCCTTTCACCAGAGCAAGTATTGCAATAGATTGTGTGGGCTTATGAAGTCATAAGCAGAAATATGCTTCGAGATGTCTTTCATTCTCCCAGTATATTCACATATTTGTGTGAAAACTCCGGATAAGTAATCTAATTTCTGTAACACGGATTGTTTACTTCCGTTGCAAGGAAAGAGGGAAAAAGTTTTAACACCCGTCCTTTACTGGCCTATGGTGTTCTCCTGCAGCAATTCTCCAACCAGCGTCCTCATTGTGTTTCTTCACGGTCCAGCTTCCACTTATTCATGCGTTTCAAAATTCACTCAAGATGCAATTAGTGGGACAAACTTTTTCCTGCCTAAAATAGCAATCCAAGGGTGCTTTTAGTCACGTTAAGGAAGCAAATCTACGCAGCAATTTTGCCACTTTTGACACAAGCGTGTTGGGATGGATATTACTTTGCCTTCATCATAGCAGCATCTCAATGGGTCTCTTATTTCCACCATTAAGATTTCAGTTTGACAATTCTTTTGGTACATATACTTCATTGGTATTAATAGTAAGGCCTCGTCTGTTTCTGCTTTTTTAATTAGAGCTAAATTCCACCTTAATCTATTTTCAGTGTTTGGAATGAAATTCTGATTTTGCATACGTCCTTCCTTCCCTACGTAAGCTTGTCCAGATTAACTCAATCTCCCTATGTGAGCATATAGAGGTCAAAATGTACCCTAACCTTTTTATTGCATCCATTTTTTTGTTCAACTCTCGATTTCGGTAACGGGCTGCTGAATGGTCTACTATTGTGACTTCGTCGGGTGGCCTAACCCCCTAGGCCACTTTGGTAGCCCCAAGCCCCATTGTAAGTCGACAGTACGTATTCTGCCATAGCATTATGTCTTCTTTCATCTTCAGAAAAGTTTCAAGGCACTGCATTTATGGCATCAGGAAGTAATTATGTTCTTAAAAGACATTTATACTGATTTTTCACTGCTGAATGATAGGCCTCATCTTGAAGGAAGAAGGGCATATGCTGCGGATGGGCGAATCTGTGACGATTTCCAATAGAAGAGCTGCAAATGTCATTTACCTTAGGTAACTGCCCCAGTTCAGAGGTCCGCAAGAAAGTTATTAACAAAGGAAGTGACATCAGCCTTATATATGTAAAAAATTTTATCACAGAGCTGTCTGCGGCACGTGTGTATGAAGATGTCGATGTAGTGGACACGCGACACCACCACCTCTCTACTAGCTGGATTGAACCCAGATAGATATGGCTAAGCAGCACTGGAGTGAAAACGAAGTGACTAGTAGAAATAGACGGTCTGGCCCTCAGGCTCTAAGTTCTACTGTATGCCGACAATAAATATTCTACTTCTTCTTCTTCCGTCTTCAGGAAAGTCTTAAAACGCTACACATTCTTCTTAACACACTGAATTATACAAATAAAAACAAATTTCTTCATTCATCTGTAATCATACCCAAAATCTAGGGGGGAAGTTAAACCCAATCAAAGACTACTTTTTCCTTTTTTTATTAAGTAGACAGAAGCTTTCACATCTGTGCGACCAATAACCCTTAAGTAGCACATTCGCACTTTGTAATCAAAGTTACTTGAGTTTCACAACACCAACAACTGTCAATCCCTTAACAATAAATGAGTGTTTAAAGTTAGTTTTGTGGTAAATATTGAATATTTGGCTTAACTTGAGTGAAAATAGTTCAGTAAAGTTCCACTTCTTAGTGGGGGCAGTTCTGAAGACTCGCCAGACGGAAGGGCGCTCTGCAATCGATTCGAGGCGTTTGAATCATGACGCTTGTCCTCCACTTTTCCCACTCATCCGACACTATCCCCTAACCCCATGTAACATCATATGAAGGAAGAGATTACTAATGAATCCAAACATTAATCTCATTGAGCAATTCAAAACTCACCATTCTCGTTCACGTTCCGCTTTCCCTATTCCACAGAAGCCGTCAATGATGAAGAGGGAAATCTGTGAACGCGGCCATTCTATTGATGGTATAGGGAAAAAGATGGGTTTTATCGAACCAGAAGGTGTTATCGTCAGTGGTAAGGAGTCCGGGCAGGAAGATACGGAGTTTAAAGGTAATCAGAAGATGTCGTTAACTGACATGTTGAACTCCGATATCAGTGTGACTGAGATGAAAAAATTTCAGCGAAACGTTATCTATGCTCTTAATCGACTCATGAAAGAAGCAGAAATGGAAAATGACAAGAATTTCCACCGACAAAATAGCCTTCCTGTGTAATAGAGAGGCTAACATAACTGTTCTAGTGGAATTCACCTGTAATATATGTATTTAAATGATCACATAGGAAATAAATTTGATGATGCTTAAACGCTAGTTGCTTCCCTTTATTGCATTTACCAGCCCCCTGTCTGGAAACTCATTTGTATGTATTTTTATATACTTCCTACTTATAAATGCTAATGGAATTTTCGTGCAGAATTACATCAATCGAATCTTTTCATGGTTTTGCTTCTCAGTCGTATCTGCACCAATCGTGCGTTTACCGTTCCCGTGAAGCAATGGGAAAATATGCTAATGTAGTATTGTCTTGTTTCATACATTGTGGCAGTTTCTCTAGTACCTTGATACTTGCCTGAAGATGAAAGAAGACATAGTACTCGGGCGGAATACGTATTATCGAACAACAGCAGGGAATGGGGCTACCGGAATGGCCCAGATGCCAGGTCCCCAGGCGGAGATAAAACGGCGATGGTCTCAGTGGACCGTTGCCAAACTCGAGAATTATACAATAAATTGAAGTACTTTATAGCCTTTCTCTCTCTTTGAGTGTCATCTCTGGTGCTCTTTTGAGTTAACCTCTAGCGTCGACCCTCACAACGTAAGAACAACAACCATAAGCCAAAGCCGGTGTCCATAAGATCGTTGTATAACGGAGGAGGTGCACTACTGAAACGTCACTGGTCCCTCTTGGCAACTCTACTGGATCTAGGGAGTCACTTTATATGGAAACTGTATTGGTGGATGAGGAAATATGCTGGTAATCACTCTCTTCCCTTGCTAGCTGTAGGAACACCTGGTTAAAACGAAAGTCATAAAAAGGAACCGGGTTTGACATAATTTTACATAATTAAAGTTTTACATTTACTTCTCCTTGCTATTATTTTTCCACTTCAGAGCTGGCCAGCCATTACCTATCTGGGCTCTATCCAGCTAGTAAGGAAGTGGAGGTATCATGTGCCTACACATCGACATCCTCATACAGGTGCGATCGACAGCTCCGTAACTGGCTTTTCTATATGGTATAAGGCTATTATCGCTTCAGTTGTGAGTAGTTTTTCTGCAAGCCAAGGGGCTGGGGTGGTTGCCTAAGGTAGCTGCTATTTTTAGACCTTCTGCTTGAAGTCTTCACATATTCTCTCACCCAGAGCATGTAAACTTTTTCCGTCACGCTAGGGTTTCTCACCCAGCAGTAGAAATAAGGATATCTGGGTCGGATTCGCTTTTCGCTGTTACCATTGTATGGCTCCAAGGTTTACCTAGAGGTGGAAGAGGAAGTAATACTCAAGCTGAAAATGTACTATCGACGTACAGTAGTTATTGGGGTCCAAGGGCCACGCTGTACTAAAGCGGAGGATTAAATAAATGATTAACGCATTGCTTGATTCTTATATCAAGCTTGATGGAAAGCCGGTCGATTTGCTCAAGTGCTCTGTTAACACTAAAAGACTTGGGTATATCTGCAGCTAGGAACTGGCCAGGCCCCGCACAATGGCAGGCAGTAGACTTGTTGTACTTGTTTGAAAACTTACGTAATTTTCACCTATTGTCCAAAGAGTTGCATAAAATTTGGTCGCTTAGTTTAAGCACTAGCCTGTCAGTAATATTTAAATCTTATCTTCTAGCATTTCATACACATTATAAACCCCTCCATATCCAAAAGACTCGTCTAAACCTTTAAGTAGGAGATATGCAGCAGTTTTTCTGGAACAATTTCACTGCGCCTTCGATGAGTTAGATAATTCTGGTCCCAGATCACAGGCAGGTAGTTCTTTGGGTCATCCTAAGACATCCCTTTAAAGCAGCAAACGACTTAAAATTCGGCCTCCAATAATACATACATTCATTAGGGAATTTTGTTAATACCTCTTAATCCCTATTCGGTTGGACAATCAACAGGTGCTGCTGCCACATGGTTTATGCACAATTTATGGCATTTCTAGAGTTATTTACCTTACCTTTACATACATACGTAGTACTGTAACTATTATTTTAACTCCCAGTTGTGGTAACGGGCCAGGTCATGCTAATAAACCCCAAGACCTTTTGTGGGTCGACAATACATGTTCTGCCCAAGTGCTGTGTCTCCTTTCGACTTCAGGAAAGTCTCAAGACCATGCACATACTTAGACATTATCACCCTCTTTTGGTTATTATATTAACCCCATTCTGATCTTATAAAAGAAAACCGTTATACTTACTTCCAGCAAGAAGGCTTCATTCACTCAAAAAAACTTATTTATGGTCCAGACGATTGCGGGCATCACAAATATGCATGAGCATCACCTGCGAATACGTTTTAATCCTCGAACTCCTGATTCCAGTCATTTTCGTACATTAAACTGAGTAGGTATTTCAAGTTTTAGTGAAACCTACTTTTCTTCTTTCAGTTTTATTCCAATTTGTGTCCCCAATTCCTTGTTGAAATCTCGTTCACTGGTAACCACAGATTGTGATGTTTTTAAACCACTGGCAAGACACTTTGATAAATTATTTAAAATTTATTGCTAAACATTGCTTCTGCTGACACCGTCACAATCAGGGCTGACTCTCCCAATGTTCTATTTCAAAGGGCACTGATTTGTCCTGAAAAATTCACGTCTTCAAGTTACGCAATCCATTCTCAAATATGATCTAGCTCTAAAGGGCTAGAAAAGGCCGTATCTTGGCGACAGTCTGGACAGATTGATTTGTTCCCTATTGAAATATCTGTTTTCATTAATGCCAACAGTGGCATCACCACCACAAATTAGGGGAAATACGATACAACAAAGGCATTTTAAAGCTCTGTTTTTCGAATCTTTAGGTATAGATATCATGGTCTTTCAGTGTGTACGTAGCTTTCTTTTAATGTGGCATCTCACTTATTTGGGTGTAAAATATCGACATACATGGAATTTTCATCTAAAATGAGGAATTTGAGTTCGAGGAGTAGAATTTTTTTGCAAGCTTTGGAGATATGTTTTTAATAAGGCAAGGGGTAATTTAGTGAGACTAAACTTCGTCGTTTTAACAATGCTCGAATTCGTTTTTTATCCCAAATTGTCTTTCTAAGCACAGCTACTTTAGGTCATTGGTGCGGCATTTCTTTGATAAGTAGATAGTTTGTGACTACCTGCAATCCGGCAAATATATCTGCTACTTCGCCAATAAATTTGTATTATATATACATATTTATATTTATATATTTTTCTTGCACGCAGGCGTAGCTGGCTTTTAACTTATCATTCGATTGTTATGTTTGCAAACGTTGCTTACAAAAAATGCTGAAGTAGGGAGGACTAAATTGTATTTTGATTACATGAAATGTGATCGTTTCCGTCCTTCACCCACGTAGGTATACAGCCACACATTTTGACTAGTTCACAAGGGATCAAATGTCCTTTCAGTTTTGTCTCCATTAAGATGATTCGCACAACCAGGCAAGTGTGCAACCGCCTAAGGGTGAATCTTTGTTCCTCTTATTCTCTATGTAAATCAGCCTCCGCGTCGGTCCAGACATGTACGCACAGTCTGATGATGACATCACAACGAAAAGTGTTGTTTATTTGCTTACTCTAAATCAAGAATTGTTTTCAAAAAATATTCTTAATGACGATTATTCTCAAATATACTTTTTATTGCGTGAAAGCATTTTCCTATTTTATCATTTCTCATCATTTCAAGCATAATATTTTACGTCTTCTGGGGCGGTATTCCCTTAGGCAGACGTCATATTTCACGCTAGAATATTTTCACAGTAAACTAAATATTAAACCCTTTTTTAAACGAAATAAATTTCATATGGATAACCAAGACATTCTGCAACGGAAACTCAGTAACGACATCTAGTTTTACTACATCAAGTTGCTACTTAGGTAATATTTAGTGGATTACTGTCGCTTGACAATAAGATGTTGATGCAGAACCATTGCGTTTGACAGATCAAGAAACTTAGATAAACGCATCTGGCGCACCAGATTTGGATACATAGCTGAAGGCTGACATCCGATTATCAGATCGGGCATCTGCTAGATGTCAGCTGAAAGCTAAATTTGAGTGAAAGCGACTTCTTATTCAGTTCTGACCAAACACCAAATGTCTTATCTCCTAATTTGTGACAAGCACGACATGGCTAAAGACCACTTTAATCGAAAGGCCTTCTAGCTTCCCGTATACTGGGTTTAACCATAAGAGGGAAGATGTTCGAATAAATTTGATCAAAATACAGTGATTTTCTAGACACTTTAAAGCTAAACCGATAATTTTATCTAAACAATGTCTTATTTATAGGATAAGGTTTACTCGAGACGCTGAATGTTACAGCATTTTGCTAAATTTTTTCCCAAATCCTACACCTCGTTTTATGCGGGTTCACCTCCAAGGTTTGAATGCAACGTTTCCGAAATAACAACACATCAGCGTCAAAACCTCGCACCTACAAGGCGTGTGATTGGTACCCTGCCTTTTATTTAGTCGAAGTTTTCATCTCGAAGACCACTTGTAGAGTTAGCTAGTCTATTTTACAAGCCTTTTTTGCCATTATGGATTATGATTGATATTTTACTCAACGTATAGTACAAATAACTGCTTTTCCGGTTGATGGTGTATGATTATAGGGGAAGTGGCTGGCTATTTTAATTGGACCAAAACACTCGGGTAATTATAACCTTACCCACAACTAATAAGCAGTTCGCTTGAGCTGTCATGAAAGATGCAGTTCAGTTGTCAAAACGTGAGTAAACCAATCGTGTTTATGGGTGTGGTTCCTGTTGGTTTGAAAACCAACTCATCATTTTGCCATTTGCCTAATAAAATCCCACAGTTACGGATGCAATATATCAGAAGAAAGGTGTTTGAAAACTAAAGTAACTAAATCATACCTCGCTTGCCGAGACAACACCTTCTCAGCACTGTATCAGCAGCATTTACCTCATGTTTTGCCTGCAAGCATTCTCCGATACTGGCGACATTAAACTAAGGCGTTAAAAGTGGTATTTGAACTGGGGTTGATTTCAGCCAATGTCCGTCATTTCTTAAACGTAACAGTTTAGATTATTTCCATAGATTTCTATGGAAATTGCTTTTGGAAACTTCGGGTTTTGTGGAAATAAAGGCAAGTGTCGAGTTCTTCTTCGAGAGGATCTAGAACAATTTCAGTTACCATAAATGGTTGTATAACCTCTGGAAAATTCTTATATTTATTTTAGACTAATATAGACTTAAAATGTGCTCATAAGATATATCAGCATCAATGGGAGCAACTGATTTGTCTTACCATGTAATTTTTGTTGACGATTTAGTGACATTACTGTAAGGCATGTTTGTTTGAATGTACTTTTTAGACGAGAAGCGATTAGTAAGTATGACCCTCGTGTCGGATCGGCACCACCGGTCCCCGAGAAGGAAACGTGCCCTGAACACACCTAAATCGTGATATCTGTACCCCTTCACCTATCGCCACCCCACAAGGCACATCCTTGTCCAACTTGTCAACTCACTCCAGGGGCTTGAAGGCAGAGGTGGGGAGTGGGAGGAAGGAGGAACACCAGTCCCATTGCATTATTGCAAAAAATATCAAAATGAATAGCTGTCTCTTTTTTAGGAAGTAAAGGCATGGTAAGTGTATGAAAGAGCAGGCAATAAATGTCACCTGTGGCAGCGCTTAAACATTTGAAGATTTCTTATTAAGGACGTTATTAAGAAATAAATGAAACCCTCCAGTTGATAGTGCGATAGCCCACATCTAGTGTTCTGGAATTATAAATTAAAATTTTTAGTAATTCACTAAAACTTTTGACTCAATGCTTACTTCACCGAAAGTTGGATCGGTTATATGCAATAATCACCGCCTTCTCTTCGTCATTGCGTTAAATTCCGGAAGATTTGTTTCCTCAGTGATTTGCCGAAATATCTGACCTGCCTGTAATGCTATTTTCGATACCTTTATCTCCGCAAGTAATCAAAATGTAGGAAACAAACAATTAGGTTGATTATCTTATCAGTCCTCATCATTTAGGGGATTTTATCAGGGAAACCCTAGAGTAGGTTCACCAACTCGCCTGCCTTCAATCATGAACCTCCATGGACCAGGTTGACTCCTCGAACCGTAGATGTAGGTGTCACACACCGAAAGGCAGGGTAAAAAACCAATCCAATCGTCAGCAAGCGCATTGCTCTTAGCGAGAAAGGAGGATGCATTAACGAAACTACGTCTGTAAAGTACGCAGTCGACAATTATAGGTGCATTTTTGTTTTAAAGACCTATAAGGCCAATGGTTTTAACGCGTAAAATGCAATAATATGCATTGGAAATGTTTTAATGTGAAAGGTAAATTCACCAGAATTATGACATTTTCATGTGGCGAGACTTAAATGCTCATTAAGTAGCTCTTAGATTGGTTTAGCCTATTTTATTTGCATTTAATATCTATGCATATTCTTCGCATAAATAAACTTACTGCATTTGGAATATTCAATTTTGCCAAGAATAATGTGCCTCAGGCATATTTCGAGGTCTTTTTGTAATGGGGTTTAGTCCCCCAGGTCCTCCCTAAAGCGATAATAATAAAATATCATAAAAAGCAATATCATAATGGGGGAATAGATTGCTAATAACCTATAGAAGAAGTGAGAGGCTACAAGCGGGACTGGAGGGCGTGGCTACCAGGACGACAGAAAACACGAAAGACTGTAGTGTTCATATAGTTAGAAGTACATTAAAATAAGTATCAGTACCCCACAAAAGGTATGAAACCACATCATGCATGGTAAACCCACATTGTAGGGTTAAGTTGTTTAAGAAAAACGAGCTGATCTATGACGCATTAACTCCTATGTAATGGATACCTATAGGTCCTATTCCAACACTGTGTCTGTGTCAATTGTGGATGGGTGCAGACTCACTAATGAATACACTCTAGCTGTAGAGATAAATTTATCTTTTAGCGCTCCACACTGTAAATGTTACTACAGGTCCATAAGGTTTCTTCAGTTGTGACGCAATAATTATGGGTGTTTCTCTGAACACTACAGTGACCCGATAGCTTGTCTGACTGTGTGTTTGACTACGCCAGTAGTTCAGTTTCCGCAGTTTCTGTTTCCGTTCTGCAGCACGGCTTTTAGACCCTACCAGTAGCCATCCAACTACTCTGTACGCCAATAATATATATTCTTCCACAGTAATTTGGTTTGGTGCGACTTCAGGGAAGACTTGGGAGGCTACCAATGCAACACTTAAGAAATACGCAGCATAGGAGGTTGGCGTGGTTTGACGTAGCTGGGGAATTTATGGTTGAAATTCTAAATTATAACTACGTATAATTATTATTTTCTTTTTATCACTACGGTTAATAAATTGATGGCCGTTTAACAATGTTTCGTAACATTTGCGCAAAACCAAAAATTGAGACAAAGTGGTTATGACTACGTTTCGGCAAATCGGGACCATCAGAAATAACTCACTTCCATTTAAGCTTTTTAAAAATAAAGGTCGTGTAATTGGCGATTTAAAACCAAATTTAGTACATCTGCATTAAAGTCCATTTTAGCTGTTTACGCCATTAAATTTGGTGCTTATTATCAAACCAAAGCGATACAATTATTTTGAAGAATCAAAGTTGAGGTGGTGCTGCAGTATCTATATAAACTGTGTAATTGCAAATCTGCTCCCAAAAACACGCAATTTGTTTAAATTGTTCAGCTTAAAGTTATAACAAGACCTAGCAATACCTCTGGGCAATCTTACACTTTAGGCATCACACATGCACCACCTTAGTCGCCCCTATTGCTTTATAATATGAAAAATTAAACCGCTCCTTACGGAAGAACCAATCGGTGCTCAGTTGGTTTGCTTGTGGGGTCGCATTGGGATGGTTCCAACTCTTCGAGTGTTTGCCTTCTCACTGGGAACGACACTCGTTTTTTACAAGTGTCATGGCTACCTTGGGACAGTGGTTTACGTATGTTTCTCATGAAAAAGCACTGCATTTAGTGTGAAGGCATAAGCATGGAACCCACCATCCAACATGGCGACTACCTCCTGGTAGAAAAGCTCTCTCTTTATCGGGGCCAAATAAAGAAGTTGCTTGACTCCTTACTTAATGTTATTTTTAGCGGAGACATTGTTGTTGCAAGGCAGCTCCGTGAGTCCGGTACCTGCTGCCACATCCTCAAGCGTGTACGGGCAACTGGTGGCGAAGCTGTAAATTACTGGAGCCCCAAATTGGCAAAATCTGTCACCGTATACGTAAGATGTGCTTGCCTCCACGGCACATCCAGTAGATCTTAGACGTGTCTTTTAATGCACAATCATGCGATTCGCTTCTGGCTTCCAATTTACTACCATTCTTGGTTATCGTTATTTTTTCTCCTACACCGCATAAGGTTCCTGAGGAACACGTTTGGCTGGAAGGTGACAATAAGCGACACTCCCTGGATTCCCGAACCTATGGGTCGGTCCCAATGGGGCACCTGGAGTATCGTGTCTTCTGTCGTTTGTGGCCACTCTCCTCCTTCGGCAGGTTCGACAAGAGAAATCACACAAGGTGAAATCCCACTCATCCGTACACCAAGTTTGATTTGCGGACCTACCGATCTCCTCGCTCGCCGGTGCTACTGCCCTTATTTTTCGTACCTTTGTGCAAATACATCAAGACTCACCAGTACATAAAGCTTTCTACCGTGGACTGAGTCCTGCCTACGTCGGTGATACGCACGGCTTCAAGGAATGATCTGGCAGTCGACACCTAAGACTCTCGTCTGAGGAGTTCCTATTCGGTCCCTCCAAGTTTTCCTAACTCGACTAACATTCCCACTGTTTTGTATCACAATTTTTGCCGTAGTCGTTAAAAGAGGAAACAGCGAAGGTGAATTAATGCGTGAAAAAGTTGGGCAGCAACGGTTCCAAGCCCCCCTTTAAAGTGGTGCAACCTAGTCAACGAGTTTGGAGGACGTATAAAGGCACGGAGACAAAGAAAGCGGGGTTTGTTTCCGATAAAAACATTGGTATTCTGAGCAGGAAGAGACGGATATTTCAAAGCACTGGTGTGTACATTACTAGGACCGTGAGATCCAAGAATTTAACGGAGTTCAGAAATGTCCGACGCGGTCTCGGGGAATGAGCCTCAGGTTTCCACCGTGCTTCAAAAAAACTTCACCTAGATCGGTTAGATGTTTGAGGGAATAAAGGAGTGTTTGCCGGTATTCGTTTTAGCTAAAGGCAAGTAAGCCGTCATGCAGGTTTTTTTTGTAGAGCTGGGCCACTTTAAGGCTAAACATCTAAACACAAACTGAAAGCAGGGAACGGGTGTTCAAGACAGGTGAGCGGACAGAAGACAAAAAACCTAGGCGATCGAGAGAAACGACATACCAGCATTCTGGTTGGGGTTTATTCCTATTCCATCGTCGGTAATTATGGCACTGGTTGCCGGTGGCACGTTAAACTAAAATAGTTACGACCATTATTAGCTGTGAATTAGTATGATCTGCTAGAGAATGGCAAGCTGCGTTTTCTCGTTTGTTCCTTCAATATAACCACATTAGAAGGTATGAAAGAAACAACTTAACAGCCTCAGTAATTTAACTGGTTTATTCCAGTGAGCGATACTAGACAATCCACGTGAGTAAGGCTGTATACCTTAAAAAGCGGAGCAAGGATGAGTCACTTTTTTAAAGGACCGATAATGTGGCATGAGGTCCGGTATTTTGTGACGATAAAGGGTCGAATACCGACAAGATGTTCACGATTAACACCATAAATCAAGATAAGGAAGTCATGTAATAACAAAACAATGTAATGCCCGAGTATTTGGATTGGAGAGGTTCAAAAGTTGCACAAGCGAGACAGATATAAGCAAGAAGGTAAAATCCCTGTATATAACGTCGTTGTCGATGTAAATTGCACATTCTCTGCATAAAGAGACTCACCTCTTCAGCAACGAATTTCAGTACTGCTGTAAATGGTGTCGAGTCGGGCACATCAAGACTAAAGAGATCTATATTTTGAATAAAACACATACATTTTGAATGGCAAGTTTGGGTCAGAAGTAAGGGTTATTTGGAACCGGACCTTCGACCTAAAATACGGACAAAAAGTAATCTCGGGGATCTCACGCACACAAGAGGGCAGCACACTCACATCGCGTTGCGTTTCTACACACCAAATCAATGTCAACACGTCAACCAACAATGACCTTGAAATGACCTACATAGCTCTTAAATAGGATTAACTGCGAATATTTCTCTTCCCGCATTTTGAAAGAAAAAGCGGCCAAGTCCACCTAGCCAGTATCAAACTTCCGCAATTAAGAATGTGTCACAAATGGCAGAAATACCAGAACAATCGAACCCTTCTTTCTCTTACGGTTTTTATGAAATGTCTCTACGCAGCTCTCTGATTCTCCACTTGAGCCATTTTAGGCTACGCAAACCTAAAAGAAATATGTAGGTGACCAGAAACCTATTGCTTAAAAGGGAGGAGCTACTTCATTTCTGCACACACCTTGGAGGTACAATGGTCACTCCGTAGTGCTCCGAGTCTTTCCTCTAGTCGTAAAAAGTTAAAACTTACACAACTCTCACGCGGAACAGATGAGAGGCTATTGGTATGGTTGGAAGGCTACAACGCCCTTGCGGAATTACTATTTGCGGGGACTAAAGCGTCTGCGTAATACTAGGCGGAGTTAAACAAACTTTGAAAGCATTACACCTTTTATATTTTGATTGTAACAGATCATTCCACAGATTTACCAAACTGTTAGACAGAAATAAAGATAATACGATGGATTCTCGTTGTAGAGAGGAAGCTACCTATTTGTAAAGGCAAGCGCTGTTGATTCACTGGAGATTGTCCCACAATACCAATTTTGTTCTTCTGCAGGCCAAATTGTATCGCGATAGAGCTTGTCAAATAAAAGTTTTTAAATGATGGATGATGTTCTAGAGTAAGCACATTCTGAATGTCAGTCGACTTTCTTCAAGCAGGAAAGTATTGCTAAGTAATTAAGTAGAGACATCCTGAGAGCCCATAGTTTTGGATGGAAGGTCATCCCACCAGAACGGTAATGCTACCAATAGAGACTCGCGATACGCACCTCTGTATACCAAATATCTTATTCATGCCAACCCACGTAGAATCCATTCGAGATTCCTTTTACTCTACCCCTAATAAGTTCTCGCAGCGTTCGAAGACGCTTCAGACTTAAAAACGATAATATCTCAAGACAGGTCGTAAAAGTACCCTAAATTGGTTGAGTTGCTGGAGTCAAAGCTAGGAGTACTGGTGGCCCAAGAACGATCAAGTCCTGGACATTTTTCATGTAAGTTCAAAATCATCATGGCATCTAGCTTTGCGTGGTTAAGCTCAAGTATTACCTTAGTTAAACTATTGTCATTCCTTATGACATAAATGATGAGGCTTTTTATAGAAGACGTTATTTCATTTCAATTAACTTTAAAATAGGCTGATCAGGAGATCTACACAAAGTACTCTTGTTTGTCACCTAGAAACTACTATTCAGTCTTTTTGCGTAGCATCAATGTTGATGGGCGCGAAAAAGTGGTAATTAATATTTGGAAATTACTAACAGTAGTTTTTTGCCCTTTTGTTCTTTTCCGTTTTCATATTTTTTAAACATTTGTTTGAATTAATATAACATTGCGGGTTACCACTACATCTGCTGCCTGGATGCACTTGGAGTCGAGTTTGATCGACATGACTGCACGTGGTCCGACCTGTCGTAGTCCTGGCAGCCAATCGAAACACACTACGCTCTGGATGACTCACTTATGACCAGAAGAGCGGTCATTACTCAGGCATAAGGCACCAGGTTACTCATAATCTAGTCTGTTTGTCAAACATGCCTTCCACGTTGCCATCGATACACGGTACACGAGATGCATAACTTCCAGGTAGACGACTTCCCGCCATGAGTTATTCGCTGTCTGATCTCATGCCTCTTGCCCATGTTTTGAGCCACTGGACGAAACTCCTATCGCCACTGCTGCAGTGATTGTCGCCGGCCTGTGAGATCGGATGCTCATCTGGTTGGGCGTAAGACAACACCAGACAAGTTGAATAAGCATAGTTTCCCACTTGGTTTTCTGCCGCTCCCAGGGCTCTGCCCTAGTTGTGCGCTTAAGCTAGTGAGCCTAAGTCGTTGCTGCTGAGTCAAACGACCTTACAAGTGACAGGTGCAACATTTTTTAGGAAACTATGCGAACTCAACGTTTTCGTGTGAAAAAAATGCCAAAACGAGAAAACTGGAAGAACCTTAACTAACCTGTCGGTGAGGCTTACAGAATTCCTCGATCATTTCCTAAAAATTTATTAGGCCAAACATGACAGACCACGGTTGTCTACCCTAGAAGCCCTACCTTCCTCGAGATGTATGGACACTTGTAGGAGCACCCATGCCATTGTTGTGGTGAGAACGCTTGCTCGATAGTTAAGTACATTGACGCATTCCGTTGTGCTGTATTTCGAGAGTTGAATAATTGATGGGGAGGAAAGAATGTTGGTTAGCAGACAAACAGGAATTGAGTGAGATTTAAGGAAGCCTAGGCAATGGGACCGATCTAAGAGGTTGTGCCAAGTCTCTCATGGATTCCGATCCCGGTTGGTGGTATGACCAGCGATACACTGCTTTGTGCGTTGTTTCTCAGCACAGTAAACACTTCGGAACGAAGAGGAGTACGAGCCGTTTCTCTGGAGGACTTTGAGTTAAATTAACAATCATCTCATAATCACATTTCTTACAAAATGCGGAATTTGGACAAAAAAAGGTGTTATCTGCTGACATTGTACTTGTGCCACTCGACAACCCATCGACTACCAGCCACTACTGTAGCTATATGTGCGATAAAATGGTCCAGCAATAGGCTTTATCACTATAGTTTGTATTAATTGTTCGTCTTACCATTAGCCTACTTGATTTCTATCCACTTTTGCGCTTAAATCACAACAGAGCAGCCCGACATGAGGACTGAATCTAAGCTTATTCATGCGATCCATCAACGCGCTTACCATCGCCGTCCGCAGCTGGAATCTTTTGATCTAAAGTGTGCGCGAATGTGTCTCCACTAGCGTCTATTTGGTCTGAAGCTCGCACATCGTCGATGTCTTGGTCCATCACAGGGAGGTGTGCAACAACTGACGTTGTCAATTTGAGGATTCCAAATCCCCATCCATTAATCAGTATCATCACCACCATTGCTGCCAACGGTGCTGGTCTCCTCTGCCGCTCTGCCACCTCACTCACCATTGGCACCAAAATTAAGTGAATTTCCGCGCTAACCCTTCTCCTCTTTCTGCCTTTGCTTTCGCTTTTAGCTTCTTACTCTGCCCAAAATCGACTTTACTCAGGACAAATAAATGAAGAGGTTATCGAAGAATTTGGGACTGGGCCTCTCAGGCAACTCTCGGCGTTATATAGTGAGGTCCCCAATATGACAAAGATGTGCCATTATGTGACCATCAGGAATAAATGCACAGTGGACACTTCCGTCTGCAATCTACCACATACAAAGGCAGCACAATCTGGGGATCAAATAAATGGTACCCAGGAAGTTTGCGCGATTAATGAACATTTCAATGCAAAAGCCAGTTCTTATTACGAGTCATTTTTTATGTAATGTGTAAAAGAAGTAAAAAAACAACAAATTTATAGTCTTGAAGGCGTAGCATATGTCACTCGTTAATATATGTGGCACTCATTCGCTTAGCAGTTTCCAAGTTGCTGTAGGTGCGAGCCAATTGTTGCAACACTTACGTTAAGTGCTACGCCCTGTTCTGCTAATCCCCAGTTATTTTGAACAAGAGCGACACGTGATTCCTCATAATATAGAATTGAAGATCTTCTTAAAAGTGATGCAGCATTGAATGCCCTTAAGCACACTGTCCAAACCACTTCTGATGACAAGAGATTCTGAATTTGCAAAGTGGACAGGAAAGGAGTTCAAAGGAAGAGTTAGCGGAGCGAACAGTAAACAACATGGCATCGATGGATTGACAAATACATACGTTAATACAAATTACAAGTCCTTGTCGTGCAATACGCCTTAGACAGCAAGAAAATTACGATCACCTAACATAGCCTAAGCAGCTTGGTGTGCGAACTTTGCTTGCTGATTTTAGTGACAAAACAGCATTGAGGAATGCCTAAAGCGACTCTTTTGTGACTGTGTACTCTCAATCAAAGAAGAAAATCATCAGTCCTTAATTTATTAAAAATGGCGATATGTTGGCCTAGTTGGCACGCTTGCTCTTCCATTCAGATCACCATTTCTACTAGTGAGATGAGTTTGGGTTGTGGTGGATGTCTGAAAGAGCTCGCCTCGAACGTTTTAGCAGTGGGGGCTCAGTGACTGCAATAAATCGCTAACTGGGTCTAATTTTAAACTTTTCGCTCTGACATGAGACTATGCTCACATTTTCCACTCATCTTCAACGAAATGCCGTAATTTCATTGGCCACTCTAAAAGGGTATCTCTGCCTTAATTATTAAACGTTTAAAGGAATCTTGTGAATAATTAAAGCATTTATTTGTGTACTTCAAGTATTGGCATTGGTCACTGTCGTGTGGCCACCGAATCACCCCCTCAGAACTCACTGCTTCGCCAAATGACTGCTCGCTGCCTTACAGCAATTTACCACCAACGCTATGAATGAAGATTTTTAAGAAATTTTTTGAACTTGTAAGAATAGTGTAGGCACCAAGATTCGAATGAACAAAGGGGTGGAGAATTGCCCACCCGATTTCGATGAGAGGAGTAACAATCTTGGAATTGATGGCATCAGCGACACTTTCACTGCAGTAATGGAGAATAGGGAAAATCTATCCAAGAAGTAGTAGCTAACGGCCAACAACTTTCGGGCTCTATTTATTCCAGGAGGGTATCTATGCCCGAATATTTCTAGTGGAAACGTTAGACACTATAGGAGGTCAGTTTAATCTTACCAGACGGAATATAAAACAGCTCTAAAACACCTCGACCTAGGTTACCTCAAATATTGATAACGAACACAATACATGTAAACAATGATGATTAAAAATATCATCAATTAGCTTGACCTTGCCCGTTAATTATTACACAGCACTTCCGTCCCACTAACACAAAAGTACTTGCGAGGAACGTCCATGAAGCGATGCGGGTTAAATTCCCACTACAAATAAACACTTGGATGACAACACTGAAGTGATTCGAAGACTACGAACAGACATGTTAATTGCAGAAACTTCAGATATAACCGGACCTGGAAATTTCGGTATCAGGTATGTTAATATAAGCCGTAAAGAGCGGATCGAAGTCTTTTATCAGTAATGAAATATCTTGAGCTACCTACCAATGTTCGCAAAACACATCCTTTCGTAACCCATCTCCAGTTCAAAATTCAATGCCACGGTTGATATTTTCTTTTAATGGTGAGGTGATGGAACAAACAAACCCGCTTTCGCAAAAGGCTTTCCAACCCTTCGGTAAGCAGTCAGTGTCTTTGCATGCAGGTTGTAAGAAATGGAGGAAGAGGGGGTAATGGGGAGCTGACTCGAGCTGTGAAGCTGTACAGAGGGATGATAGAGATGAAGGAAACACACCCGTGCATGCACAGGGAGACTGCGGCGAATAGACGGGAGAGAGAAAGAGGTCTCTCATGGAGGTGGGGCTGGCGAAGACTGGCTGACCAGACGACCCGAGCCTCTTCGGGTCGACCGACGGGCTCCCGACACTGCCGAGATGCTGTGCTTAAGTCGGCCCTGAGGATTGGACAAGTCAATAAGACGTGCAAATTAGATGGAACAGAGCCAAAGATAGCGGATTAACAGCAAGCGCTTTCTGGTGCATTCAGGTGAAATAGAAATGCTGGCTAATTTTACAGTTTCGGTGTGACTAGAGTAATCCACTCATACAGCAGTACCGTGTTGCCTCAGGCTTCGTGCCAGGCTGGAAATACGGTGAGACTATTGAGGTGGTAGTAACTTCAAGTGAAAAGGTAGCATGACCAACCAATTACTTAAACAACAAATAGAAATAAACAGTTTGAAAACAGCATGAATAATGAGTTGAAAAGGGACTAGACTGCACAGAACTGACAAGCAAATTTCATAAGCTGTCCTTGGCAAAGCATGAAAATTTGGGTTTGCTTGAAACCAGTCATTAATAGATAGAATACAAGATGGGTCAGCTTTCATGCCCTGCTCACTCGCTGGAAGTGTGACGCGCTCCAATGTGCGCATGAGATAGTCCAACCCGACGCTATGTGCAGGAGAGTCGTAAAGGTCTTGAAAACAACCTGGCACAGAAACCACCCTGGCAAGCCCCCATAGTAGTGTGCACATGGACACGCGTACGGGCACAAAGATGAAACACGAACGTTCCAAGTAAAAAGAGGAGTCAAACTCAGCGCTATTCAATCTTGCATTCCTCCTGATTTAAAGTCTTATTTACTGACGTAATACGTGAGTGTAATTTGAACACAATTTCCGCACCATACCCCTCTTGGCAGAAAAAAAGGTTCAGAAACACCTCTTAAGGCGGTGAAAATAGCAAATCACTCCTCCCGGAAAAAAAAACTTTTATTTCACCAATTTGACGCCCCGCGTACCCGTTTCCCTCAACAAGCACAATGATGAAGGCCTCATCGCAATAGCGCAGACATTAATATATGTGTGAAACATAACAATAGCGTTATGATAACTACATGGACTTTAAAAGGATGTGCCTTGAGAGATTTTATGTGCAAAGCCAAAGCACGCTCATTGTGACTTGATTAGATAGGTATTGCTATTTTGCAGTGATAGAAATCAATTTACATATCGTAGGGTTTATTTTAAATAAATGATGACAATTCAATACTCGCCTGACAAATGAGGTTATTAATACTTGGATTAATAGTTAAACCTAGTAAATTTACTGAAATAAATCTAATGAAATAAATCCTACAAGCAAAAAAGAGCCCCACATCCCTTTTGGTATTCTCTTTAATTATTCACACTTTCTACACGAAGCCATAAAACTAAACGCAGGAATGAAAAACAAAACACCGAGAAATAACCCAGAGGCCAGTGTGACTCAGAGGAATTACGACAGTATACAGGCTTCCCTCTTGCACAGAAAAGCAGTTAATCAAACCACGCGAAAGTGGAGGTACGAGAGCCCACAAGTCCAGATGGATTGGTGGCCTAGTTAACCTGATTAACATTTCCCAATGAGGTGTGATATTTAAAAAGTGATGGAAAGCGGTCATCAACGTTTCTTAAGAAGAATAGATTCTGCATGTGATTTGATAAGAAATTTAAACTGGAAAACAACTTTCTGTTAAAAAATCTATTTGTTCTATGGTTTTTCTTAGAAATAAATATTTAACCCCAATTTAAGCATTAAATGCCATCGAGGGGTTAAAGTTTTACGCAAGAAATAATGGCCATAACACCTTTGAAAAGGCACCATCATTTAGTGAATGGATGGAAAGCAAGCATGGCGTAAAATTCGACATGGTGAACACGCGGCGTCCAATGAAAGTTAAAAATTTTGACCAATCGGAGCAGAAAATACATCCAGATGGAGGGGATAATGTCGATCGAAATAACCGTCTGGCGTTCACATGTGTCGCTTCTGATGCGTTTCCCCCAAGCAATGACAAAGAGAATGCTTGCAATTACGTTGTATTTCGAATGATACAATGGAAAAGGTTAGTGTGCAAGTAAATGTGTTTGCTTACGTCTGCAAAAGTAAATAGCACGAGTGGTAAGAGGTTTACATTGCCAGATTAATAGCTTATAGACCAAATGCTAGTCTGTCCATGGGGACTCGAAAGTGGAAAGACATCGGCTTTCCCTTAGGTCAGCACGTGTCACGTTTATGCGTCTAAGGTCCGTACAACTAATGCAATGAGTCACCGATTAAACTTTTATCAGTTAAAATGTTGCAGCAGCGGTCGGGGGACATGGAAATGACCTGACTGAGGAATGGAGAAAAATCCTTACAAGAAAATATTTCCTTAGAATATGAATAGACAAAAAATACAAGGTTACCTGGAGGGTGAAAATAACCGTTGGTCAAAAGAATATCATTAGTTCATCTAGATCACAGCAGTTGACAAAAGACCCTTTATTTACCATAAAGCAAGTTATTCACGAACCAGAGGATGTTTGGAATCTGGGCAAAACGTATATGCCTTATACCAAACAATATCAAAATCGCAAGAGTACGTGTCGAATGCGTTAGAATATGGATGAAGCATTAATCATAATGCAATGAACTTATTAGCAAAATATGTCATCCAAGTTCACGAAATCTGGTTTAATGTTACATTGCATGCTAGGGTTTGGAGTAAGGGAAAGAAATGAACAGTGGGGAAAACAAATTAAGTACGAATGAAATAGACCACTAAGAAGGATACAGGTGTTCGCCTTTCTTCAAATAAGACTAGATACTATAGGAGGCAGGAAAAAAGATGACAGATAAAGCAGATCGGAGATCTCCAAGATCGGATAATTTATCATATAAGAGAAACGAATGTATCACTACTGCCATCAGAGGTACCAGGTCATTCAAAAGGTAAATGCATTAATGGAAGAAACTTTGCAACGAATTAGGAGGTACAGGGCACAATAGACTAGCACTTGTAACAGAATAAACTAGTCGTATAGTTTGCTGTTGAATTCGTTAAACGAGACAACTGACATCCGTCCTTTGCAAGCAGCCAGTCCCAGCATCTAGGTGTATTTTAGGAGAATGCGTACTTATTGTTAAAAAACATGTTTAATAAAGGTAATATTAACTTTCACTGTTTTTGACACTAGACTTTTCTCCGCAATTGCTGAGAAATTGCAATGCACGATAGACATCGGCATAAATGACAAGGCGGTTAACTATATGGGGTGCAAAGTAGATAAAATGCTTCTCCGGATAGATTTTGCGATGAATATAGTTAGATTTGGCAGACGTTAGTCGATATGGTTTTTTAGAATGCTGTGAAGAGATGCGAACCGCATGAGCGGAGGCGCTGATTTGACATGATCAACCAAGCTGAACTTGGGGAAGAAGTGCACGAAAAAAGGCACATCCGCCACACATCCAAAAGAAGATGTACACACACACACACACACACACATACACACACACAGCAGCAGTAGGCTGTACCAACAACAAAATACTGAGTGCACGTAAACAAATTACTCATGCAAATATACACATACGCAGACGAATACGTCCACAGCCAAATCGGAGATATGATCCCTTGGATCTTTACATGTTTGCGAATATGACAGGATGCTCCACTGCAGTAGACTCTTAAGAATCCCTCAGAACAGGCAAAGAGCAACACTTCCACTTTTCTGAGATGAGGCAGAGGGAGGAAAGAAACGAGTTTACGCACATCCAATGGGGCATTCCGAGTGCAAACACTTAGGAGTGTAGGAGGGTGTGTGTGGAGGTCGACGCAACACTTACCGAGCGTGCAGGATAATACGACAATCTGGTAAACGAAAATGCATTCTCGAATGAAACAGGAAAATTTTCGGCCCAATGATAAATTTATTAGAACAGGATAGTAATTATTTTGCAACCAGCTTTGCAACAGGAATCAGTTCACAAAGGACAGAATACATAACCTCCGTTCTGGATAAACTCATCTCAATAACAATACAGTTACGTGAATAGTATTTTTAAGAACATCAGCAGCTAAACCAAGTATTTCGTGTTAAATACGTTTGATATATTTCAAGCCAACCACAGAGTACCCGTACGTCTAACACGACTGCTGATACAGAGATAAGGGAATCCGAGGCATCATGATAATGACGAAGACCAACTCTGTGCTTTAGAATCTCAATGGATTGTGTACTGGATAGCATTCAATCCAGAAGGTGAGATGAGAGGAGATCCATCCAACGTCTCTAATCAGAGGCCAGAAAGTGAGCTTGAAATTTCCAAAGAAATAGAGAAAATAACGCAAGGGATCATTTAACAGAGGCGAGAGGTTATTAAGAAAGGGAGAGGAGTTCAGGGAAGAGGTAGCAGAGGGGTTTTAAACTGGCGCTGTCATTCACCGACAGTGGCGAATTTCTCACCGAGGCGAGTAAGCTAGCGCTGGGGCGGTGTTAGTGCCTTTACGTCTGTGCGTGTGCAGCAGCAGCAGCAGCAATGTGAATAAAAAAGGGGGGAGTTAGGGGAGTCATTCTTCACCTACGTAGACGGGTACATGTCTTCGCGGCCGCTGAAATGGAGGGTGAGGCTGCAAAGAAAAATGGAGGCTGGAGCGAGTTCATAATGTGAAAAAAAAGGAGGACACGGCAACTCCACTTGCAAGAAAAATTTCATGAAAGACAAATCACTTTGATCTGCCCTCGCCAATATGCGGTAAGGGATCACACTTGCATGTTAACCTATCCAAAGTGAGGTATGTAAAAAATCATGCGTTTTGATCCTGAAAAAAAAACGGGCACGACAAAAACATCACAAACTACCCACAAGAAATCGTTTAAAATGACGCGCACTTTGAGAATCAAAGGAACTGGAGGAGAAATTCGGATACATTAAGGAAATAATGAAATCTGGCAAAAGTTGATGAATAATGAAATGTATAGGGTTTAGCATTGAAACAGTGGAAGTGGTGCTGCTATAAAGACACGCAAATATCCCCGGAAAGGCTAGCCAGATAGTGAGGTCAGGTTTAGTTCGTGAAATTGGTACCGTCGGAGAGGTCATGCGGGTACAAAGTCATCAGCCAGATCATGCAAGCGAGATTTTGGATGCGGAATAACACCTAACAATTACCCGGCGACTGTGAAATTTGTTTCACTGTCCTCACCGCAGAACGCGGTGGGATGGGAGCAGGACAACGAGTCGTTGTCACAGATGGACTATCCGCAACAGGCTTTACATCGGCTCGCGAAGTACAAGAGTTCAGAGGCTCTGTATTCGAACGAAGGTAGTAGACGTGGGGTTTGGGCAGTTTTATCCCCTCCTTTAACAATGATAACAACATCGATAGATACTTTGCCATCCGTTTACCTTGATTTTCCGGCCAGGTAAGGGGAGATTAAGTCAAATAACGAGAAGAACTTACAGAATCTGAAGTGGATTTCCGGTGGTGGTCCCCCCTTGAGATATCCCCAGATTCAATGGCGTTGAATGAATCCGCATTTTGCGATTCCTCTTCTGTGAGTTCCGTTACGTTGTCGAGGGGAGCTAAAATAAATCATGGCAAAACAGTCAAGAGCTCGAAGCAAAAGTTGAGGCAGCTGATAACAACCATAGAAAGACATGATAAACTAAAGAATAAAGCGAATAGCTATGACCGGGACGACGATGTAGCAAACGAGTTAAATAGTCGAAGTCGCAGGCTTGTACGTAGACAAAGAAACGCCGAAAATCAATCTCGACTTTGTTGTCAAGAGCTGTGCCTGAACACAAGTCTATATGTTATCAAACTGATCGGTTGGCAGTGAATTAAAAAGCCTTGCATGATCCCATTGCAGTGGAAGGCTTTTTCTTCTTTGTATGTAATGAAGTTTAAAAAAATGACATCAGGGAGTTGAAGTGATTTGATGCCAATCACAAGTGCTGAGATGAAAGCAATCAGCATATGCTGATTCGTTTGGAGAACGAAATCATCACATTGAAAAGGGCGGCACAAAACGCCGAAAAAAATAACGCAGCAGACGATTGACGATAATAACACCTGGAAACTCAAATGCCGCCTTTCACCTTATATTAGAATGCTGTGTGGTACGTTTGGACTGTCTTTTCAAATGTACGTAAAATTGCGATAAACCATTCGCATTGATACAGGAATGTTGATTTATTACGATCGCCTAAGAAACAGAAGTATTTAACATACGATGGCTGCACAATAAATAGCACTCCAACGAAAGATGGGCATTGATCGACTCCCACTGTTCTAAACGAGTGAACAAACACAAGCGAACTCGAGAAAGAGCGTGGGGAAGGGGGTCATGTCCACACAAAAAGGGATTAATAAGCATAGAAACGAAGGCGTTTATACGAGAAGCCAACACGAGCAAACAGCACAGAATAAAATGTAAACTGTTCCTCTCAGTGCAGCAAGTGCCCCACCTGACATTAATCCAAAGCATACTAACCATAAAATACAAATGCACCAGAGTGGAAGACAGGGAAATGGAAGCAGCGATTATTGAAAAGCGCCTATAGAGCACGAGTGAACACACAACAGAAGATAAAATTGCTGCTCATGCATCCACGCATTAAAAAACCACAAAAATTGTCGCATAAATGATCACAGCATTGATGTTAGTGAACAGGTGATAGGGATCACGAGGTCCTGGTTACGGCAGACGGGACTACCGTAGATGTTCGCGGCGCAATAATACCAATAACGGTATCTCAACCAATAAGACCCAAGTGTCTATCACACAAATTACAAGTACCGTATTCAGTATTCCCAGTGAATTCACCATCGACTGAATCGGAAAAGTGATATCGCATTCCCATTGCCACCCATATCGGCCTCAAGTTTATAAGATTTGAAAATGAAGGTGGAGACATGCACGTCAAGTAGTATTTTGCAATATCTAACT